GTAAATATTTAATTGTATGTTATTCCTGTGTGGTGTTTGTTGTCTTCAACATTTACATGTGTATTCTAATAAAAAATAGCAAATTATTGTGTGATTTAGCAGTTTTCTTTTCTTATTTTGAGTCATTTATGATTTGTATAGGCCCTACATTTTTCATAGGCCCTAGGCACTGTGCCTAGTGAATGAGTGCTCTGGCCCTGCCCTAGGCCAGTCTCTCACCAGCTGTCCACTTGGAGCTGTCCATGGTGCTGCTCCAATTCACCTCTAGCACTCTGATTTGCAGCTGTCCTAGGCACATTCTGTTCTAGGGAAATTCTGCTCTTCCTCCTCTTCCTGTCTCACAGTTTCATCCCCTGGCTGGAGAATTGCACCGTTGCCCACAGGGTCTAAGGCAGGGGTCTCAAACTCACGGCCTGCCAGCCATCTGCGGGCCCCAGCATATTCACAATCCGTCCCAGGAGTCCGGGCAGCCTGAGGGCGTGGGCATGCCTGTCCCCACAAGCCCTGCCCCTTCACCTCCACTGCCCCATCCTTTCCCCCCATTCACCCCATCAGCCTTGGTGGTTACTGGGGGGCCTGGTGCAGGGCAGCAGCAGCAGTCGGGACCCCCTGCACTCCCCACAGCAGTGGGAGCCATGGGGAAGAGGAGCAAGTGTGTGCACGGAGTGCAGTGGGGGGGCTCACTGCTGCTGCCACCTGGTTCCAGGTCCCCCCTCAGTAATCCCCCAGGCAGCATCCCTTGGAGGATAGGGTGGGGAGGTGGTGGTGGTGAAGGCTTGGGGGATGGGTACAAGCACTCTCCCCCAGGCAACCAACCTCCATGCCAGACTGTAGATACATCTCATTGATCTCTGTATTAATCATTTTCTCATTTTTATTTTAACTTTGTATCAAGTCCTTTTAGCATTGTAATAAGTCTTTAGCTTTGTTTTATTAAGTCCTTTTATATAGAAACTTTGTATACTTTCATAGAGAACACAGAAACTTGGTATTAAGTCTTTTTATGTCGAAACCTTGTATCCTGTAGACTTTGTACTCCCTTTTACTTAATTGATTGTCCTCTTGAGTGAACGAGGTGTGAATGGATAAGGCATGAAAGGCAAGCACCTCTGGGCACTTGCAAAGGTTGGAGGGGGTGAAAGCCAGATCCAAGAACAATGGGACCTGTGAAGTAGGCTCACTGAAAGAACACTGGATGCCTTGTGAGTCAGCAGCAAGTGCCTGCTTTTGGAAGCCCCCTCTTTGAAGGAGAATGTGGCAGCTTTGAGACACCACCCAAATGAAGGTGTCACAGATGTCTAACTGCATATGCAGTTAGATAACCGGTCATCTGAAGAAGTGGGCTGTGCCCACGAAAGCTCATGAACATGTTTTCTTAGTCTTTAAAGTGCTACCAGACTATTTGTTGTTTTTTAAGTTTTTCCTGTTACAGACTAACTTGGCTATCCCTCTGAAACCTATGCATATGATGGCTCTCACAGATGTTGCATATGCATGTGATGACTAGTGGAGATCTGCAGGAGAGGGAAGACACTATAAATCTAAGGCATCTTGCAGAGGGACCCCGGGTTTTCATCTTGTGAACATGGGAGCACCGATCCAGATCGGCAGAAGCCCGGCTCCACCCCTCCCCCACCTAACTCACCCGTCCAGTGCAGTTAGGGGGAGCAACTATTGGTAACAACAAGGCTATGTCTAGACTGCAATGTTTGTGAGGAAAAAGCTATGCAAAATGTGCTCCACATTTTGTGTAGCTTTTTCCGCTTTTTTTTTCCCCAGAAGAGGCTTTTCTGCCATTTGATCCCATCTTTCAGAGGAGCCCTTATGCCTCATGAAATGAGATATACAGGTCTCCCCGGAAGTGCGTTTGCTCTTCCGCGAAAAAAAGCGGAAGAGCAAATGTGTTCCTTGGACATGGTGGGGTTTTTGCGGGATACCGCAAAAACCCTGTAGTCTAGACGTAGCCCAAGATGGGGTGTGATTGTGTGACAAGTGTTGATTGATATATGTGCTATCAGTAAATGTGATGTTCTACCTTTTCCCCCTGAAAAGATCCTGTGCAGTACTTTTAAGTACAACAAGACCCCGCCCCTCCTCCATTAATATCAAGCAGCCCTTGACCACTTTCCAAATTCTTGGAGTGCCCCTCCCTACCCAAAATTATTGCCCACCCCATTCTGCAGGTTGGATTAACTATATAGGTGTTTTCATTAATTCCCCACTAGTGAGTCGTGATGCCACAGATAAGTAAGCCAGAAGTACTCAGGTCCATAAATCACTTAATACAAGGCACATGCCAATAGAGTCTACAACATAATAGTCTTTGATGTTCTATCTGTATAAGGTCTCACTCACTCACAGCTCTCTCCCACCAGTTAACCTCTTCATCCCCTGCCAGGCAGCAACACAGGGAGGTTAAAGTTCTCCCCACCTCTCTCCACATTATAGACAACAATATTCCTATTGTTTTCATAAAACTAGCTCAGATTTTCCCATTTCTCCATAGAGGGGGGCTGTAAGGGAGATGAGTGTTTCCATTGTTCTCAGTCAGGGAAACTGAGGCACAATGCAGCAACCACTTGACCAAAGGCACAGATGTCAATAGCATCAGCCAGCTTAGAACTCAGACTGATGCCTGACTCACCTCTTTCATCCACAAGGATTTTTAAACGCTAGCACACTCATCCACCCACTCCATCATGAGCAGGTGACAAAAATCCTCCTTGTGAAATGAGATAGGTATTTCTCAATATATTATGATCTGTCTGTGCACATATGGCCCCCAGCACAAGACCAGTTGGAAGCTCTAGATAAGTCCGTAAAATAATCAATAGTAATAATTAATAACAGAAAAGTTCTGCTCTTAGAAAGGAAGGGGGACACTTTTTTAAATACATTGAGCACATTGGCTTTATTGCCTGACCTCCATCCCCACCTGGACAGTTCAGTCAGAAGAGCATCAGACTTTTAATCTGAGGGTTGGATTCACGGTCCAGGTCCAGCTGTAGCTTTTGCCATTAAGCTTGATGATTTAAAGGTTTGTTCTAGCCTAAAGTTCTAAGAAAACTCTCTGGAAATGAGTCCCAGATGGTGAGTCGGCACCATGAAGATCAATCCATTCTGCAGAGAGACAGTTGGCTTGCCCGTTCCTGATCTGACTAATGGGAGGTGATGAGGTTCAGGTCAGGACAGTAAAGGCAGCCCTGCAGAGACACCATTTCAAATTTTGGTTGGGGGGAGTAACTTTAGCCATGATTCCAGGGGCTATTTGGGCACCTGAAAACTCTAGTTTTCTGGCAGACAATTTAACAGTTATCTAACATAAGCACTGTATCTAAGTCCTATATAAAAGAAAGGCAAATATTAGACACACTCGGCTCTAATAATAGCAGGTTCTGATATGTTGTGGCAAGCCATTTAAGGGACAGATTTACATGTTTAATGTATATTCTTACTTTGTTACTAACTCTGCGGAGAGAGAAAGAGAGACCCTATCAGAAGTCTTGGGTTCTATCTCAGCTCTAGGAGGTGAGTGGGGTCTAGTGGGTTACAGCAGGGGCATTTACATCTGGGTTCTAAGTAAGAACTGCAGAATGGCCCTCCTGGGTCAGACCAAAGGTCTATCTGGAATAGCTCCTTATCTTCAGATAGCAAATGCCGGGTGCTTCGGAGGGAATGAACACAACAGGCAATTACTGAGTGATTCATCCCGTCACTCATTCCCAGCTTCTGGCAAACAGAGGGAGGGACATGCAGGGCATGGTATTGGATCTCTGCCTACTAATAGCCATCGAGGGACCTATTCTCCATGAACTTCTCAATATCCTCTGGCAAAGAGTTCCACAGGTTGGCTGTGAAGAAATACTTTCTGTTGTTTGCTTTAAATCTTCAGCTTATTAATGTCATTGAGTGACACCCAGTTCTTGTGTTGTTTGAAAGAGTAAATAACACTTCCTTTATTCAGTTTTTCCACATCACTTATGATTTTATAGACTTCTGACATATTTCCCCCTTAATCATCTCTTTTCCAAACTGAAAAGTCCCAGTATTTTTAGTATCTTCTCATATGGAATGTGTTCATGACTCCTAATAATTTCTGTTGCCCTTCTCTGAACCTTTTCCAAATCCAATATATCTTTGTTGAGATGATTTGATCAAATCTGCACAGCATTTCATATGTGGGATACTGTGGATTTATTCAGAGGCAATATGATATTTTCTATCTTATTATCTATCCCTTACCTGAGTCCCAATAACGTTAGGTTTTCTTTTCTTTCTTTTTTGGACAGCTAGCCACAATGACTCCAAGATCTCTTTATTGATGGGCTCGGCTAATTTAGACCCCATCATTTTGTATGTATATTTGGGATTATATTTTTCCTCTGTGCATTACTCTGCACTTTTTCAACACTGAATTCCATCTGCCATTGTGTTGCCCAGTCTTGTGAGTTTTGTGAGATCCCTTTGTAACGCCGGGAAGACTGCTTTGGGCTTAACTATCTTGAATACATTTTGTATCATTTCCAAATTTTGCCAGTTCACCATTTACCCTTTTTTTCAGACCATTTATGAATGCGTTGAACAGCACAGGTCCCAGTACAGACCTCTTGGGGACACCTCTATTTACTTCTCTCCATTTTCACCAGTTATTCCCACCCTTTGGTTCCCATTTTATGACTGGAGTGCCTGACAATGCTTTCAGGATCCTTAGTTTACTTGAATGACAAACCTTTTGTTACTTTAATTACCCTGCCTCTGTTATAAACAAACTCCCTGCCAGAAAGGCTGTATTGCTCCCACCTTCTGAATTCATCATGTATCACATGCACGCTGTGCTGCAGTTCAGGGCTCTGTCTCTGGCTAGGCTAAGTGAGTAGACCTGGGGTACAAAATTCAGGAGGGGGAGGGGTGCTATGGCCTCCAGTCCCCCTAAATGGTGCTGCCTGCAGCCTTCACTCTCCTCAAGGCCTTCACCAGGGCTCTCTTAAAGTCCCTGTTCCTCAGGGTATAGAGAAGATCGACACCATTTTGTCCATGTCGGAGGCCCGGCCGGATCCTGGACGAACATACATGAATATGACTGTGCCATAGAAGATGGTGACGACGGTGAGGTGGCTGGTGCACGTGGAGAACGCTTTGTGTCGGCCCGTGGCCGACGGGATACGGCAGATGGTAGAGATGATCAGGGTGTAGGAGGTGAGGGTCAGGAGAAAGGAGCTGAGCACCACCACCACCGACACCAAGAAAACCGAGATGTTGGCCACCTGAGTGTCCCCGGTTGACAGCCTCAGCAGGGGCCCCGTGTCACAGAAGAAGTGGTTGATGTGGTTGGTGCCGGAGAAGGGCAGTTGGGAGATGAAGGCTGTGGGCAGGAAGGGAGTAAGGAAGCCACTCACCCAGGAGCCAAAAGCCAGCCGGGCACATGCCTGGCCATCCATGAGCACTGGGTAGCGCAGCGGGTGGCAGATGGCCAGGTACCGATCATAGGCCATGGTAGCCAGGAGGAAGAACTCCGTGGAGCCGAAGAAGAAGAAGAAGTACATCTGGGTGATGCAGGCGTGGAAGGAGATGGCACGATGGCCGTGGTGGAAATCTCCCAGCAGCCGGGGCACTGTGACCGAGGTGTAGCAGATCTCCAGAAAGGAGAAATGGCTAGGAGTGTGCAGGCTGGCCTCCTGCTGGGAGAGGGCAATGATCACCATGTTGCCAAGCAGCGTGAAGAGGTAGATGGCCAGGAAGATGGCGAAGGAGAGGAGCCGAAGCTCCGGTGAGAGAGCGAAGCCCAGCAGGAGGAATTCAGTGACAGAAGTTTGGTTGTCCATGCTCACGTTGGCCAAGGGTGTAGCCTTCAGAGGAACAGCGAGCAACACTGGATTAAGGTGTAAGAAACTATGCTACAGCTGAGGAACTCGCAATACGAGGGGCCTTTAAAAAAGAAAAAACTGACTCCATTTCACATTGTATCAAAATCATTTGATAATAAAAGAGAGATTGAAGTTGGAAATTTTCATTCAACTATCACAAAAATATACACCTCTGGTTACACAGACACCTTTCCCCCATCCTTCCTCTTCACTAATTGTTCAATTATTGACAGGCGGGTGGTCAGGGGTGGGAAAAAACCCAATAATTGCACTTCTAAAATTAGCATTTCTATGAGTCAGTCTGATACCAGTCTCCTAAGGGCAGTGTTTTGTTGGCCAACTGCTAGTGGTAAAATTGTCACTGTGGCGTCATGGTTTATTTAAATAAATAAGCAATCTCATTGCTGGTAAAATTGGGAAAAATGTGAGGTCGGAGGCAGCAGTGTCATGAAGCAGCCTTGCCAAGCTCAAACTTGTATGGGATTTGTTCTAGGAGTGACGTCATGTCCTTCTTCGCTGGTAATAGCCAAACGGCTGCCATCTTTTGTTTACCATCCAGCAGGCTCAGTTCTATAGTGCCTTCATTCCTGTTTTTCTTCGTTTTCTTAAGTGTTCGTGTGGTCGTTCTTCTTTTGATCTGTACAGACATAAAATTGTGTATTTCAGTGCACATGCCACTTTCTGTTTCATGCACTGTCTATGCGTTACATGAATGAGCGTGCAGGTGACCATCTTCTGGGCTTGGCTTGAGTGGAGTTTGAAGAGGATACATTTATGTTGGCTTCCTCCTCCCCCCGCCATGAGTTTCAGGAGCCTCCACTGCATTTTAATTGTATGACAAAAGAAAAAATCCCAACAATTCATTGTTTCATAATGAAAATTAAATGGCAATAATATTTTATATATAGTCTGGATAAACTTTGTATTGCCCTAACAAACTTAATCAAACTTTTTTTCCCATTTATTCATATGAAAATGAAGATCATTTTCCTTAATCATGGTATAAAATTATGATATCCTCTCATTTTGCTGTGAGACCATAAAAGCTTTCATGTTCAATGTCCAAGCTTTCAAAGCACATTCAAGCTTTCATGTTCAAAGTCAATGTTCTTTCTGTAAAAATATAGAGTTCATTTTTTATGGTATGGGGCCTTTTGTACCATCAAATGGAGGTACAGCTGATTGGAACCAGCTTGGATTGGGTCAGTAGACGCATAGTTAATGGTATAACCATGGAAGATGGTGAGGAATTGTTTGGGAAGCCCTAAGGATGACACATATCTTGGATTATAGGCTGAATCTGAGGGAAGGAAAATGTAAGCAGATGAACAGGGATATTTCCTGATACCCTGGACAGCCAGCCTGTGTAACACAGAAGCCCTGGGAATCTCCTCCCTTGAATAATTTATAACAAACTGCATAGGCATTGCAAGGAACACGCATGCAGGGTATGTTTGTTCTGCAACTAGAAATCTGCAGCTGGCCCTGTTGTAGGAAGAGAGCCTGAGACGTAAGCTCCTGTGTCAGAGCCTGGGATGAAATAGGAGCTGCTCACAGCATCTGGCAAGAACAAGGCTGATATCCTCCAGCAATACACACTGCTAAGAAACACTAGGCACTGAGCCCTCTCACAAATATACCCAGCTATCAGGTGGTTCCAGCGCATCCCTATCGCAAGGGTGGTACAAAAACATTCCCCATGGGTCACAGGAACACACCCACCCCTTTGAAAAGATACGGTCAGGAGGACAGTACGTAACAGGGATGCTTTAATCAAACCAACATGTACAAAGTGATGGGTGATAATGAGCCATGTCAGGAGGCAGGAACCACATCAAACTTGGTACTATCAAGTCATAGCTCTGGTCGATTCAAAATGGTATTTTTCATCAAATAAACAATTCCTTTGCCCAAGAGAGACACAAGGCTACGTACACTGTAGCCCCCAGGTTAGCATCAGATATTGAGTTGGAGGATGAAGGATGTTTATCTTTCTAGCACCTTCTGCTGTTTCCGATGTCTACTGAGGCTATATCTAGACTGCAGAGTTTTTCCGGGATACCAGAGGTATCCTGGAAAAACTCTGCTGTGTCAAAGGAACGCATCCACTTTTTCGGATCAGTTTCCGAAAAAGCGGGTGCGGTCTTTCGGAAGCCCT